GACGTCAATTCCTTTCACCGAACTTGGAAACATCTTAAAAGAACACGAACGGAAAATCAAGGCGTCGGATGAAGCCCGTCAAGTAGGGATCGCTACTGCAAATTACACTGCTTCCTCTGAACGCCCCAATCATGGTCGCCGCGACGGGCCTGGTTCCTCGTCTGGTAGTCAGCGGGGACGGAACCAGTATGGTGGCAGCGGCAGTCAGACTCGCAGTTTCTCCAGGCAGCAAGGTGGTTGTCAATACTGCTCCATTCCAGGTCATACAATTAAAGAATGTCGCAAGTTGGCCAAGTTTCTACGGTTCCATGGCTTTGTGTCTCAGCCCGCTGTGCATAACACAGGTCTCTCCCCACAACCTTCTCCTGCATGGTTATTTGATAGTGGGGCCAGTCACCACACGACGCCATCAACACAGACTCTCCACTCATTCTCTGACTATGGTGGTCCAGATGAAATACGTTTGGGCAATGGTAAGGGTCTCTCAATTACTCACACTGGTCACTCTTCCATTTCCACACCCACTCGTAATCTTACCTTATCAAATGTTCTTTGTGTGCCTGACTTAAATCGTAATCTAGTTTCTGTCTCCCAATTATGTCAGTCTAATCAAGTGTCTGTTGAATTTTTACCCTTTTCATTTCATGTTAAGGATCTGAGAACGGGGGCGAAACTTCTCACCGGTCGTAATCTGGATGGTGTTTACTATGCCATGCCGTCTACGTCTGTTCCGCAAGTGCATTTTCATGGAGGTGGATCTGTGTCTGATCTTCATCATAGTCTTGGTCATCCGTCCAATAAAGTTCTATTATCTCTTTTGAGTCGTTGTTATAAGTCCTTCTCTACAAAGGATATTCAGCAGTTTCATTGTAATGCTTGCTCCATTAATAAGAGTCATAAACTTCCTTTTTTTGAAAACTCCATGATGAGCACTGCACCGCTCGAACTAATCTACTCGGATGTCTGGTCATGCAAGGAAAAATCTATTGATGGCTGCTTATACTATGTTCTTTTTGTTGATCACTACACCAAATATGTTTGGCTCTATCCCATGTCTCGTAAATCTGACGTTTTTAAAATTTTCCCACAATACAAGCAACTTGTGGAAACGTTTTTCAAACGTAAGATAATTTCCATTTTTTCAGACAACGGTGGTGAATTTATCAAACTTCGTCCTGTGCTCAGCGCCTATGGTATCTCTCACTTCACCACTCCTCCCCACACACCTGAGCATAATGGCACGGCTGAACGTCGTCATCGTCATATTGTTGACACTGGTCTCTCCCTGCTACATCATGCTCACATGCCGTTACTGTATTGGACTTATGCCTTTCAGACAGCCACATATCTCATAAATCGCATGCCTACCCCAATACTCGACTCTCAAAGTCCATATCGTGTTCTGTTTGGAGCAGAGCCCAATTATCTTAAACTTAAACCTTTCGGTTGCCT